TATCTGAGCATCCCTTAGTCTAGTCAAGTTGACATAAAATTAACCTTCACAGATACTTGTCTTTCTACCTTTTTTCTCTTGCCATTCATATTTATGGTCTTTCTATACTCTGTACATCATTATGTTCACAGGGGATGTAATTTGACTTGATGTACATTTGAATCCTTGAAATAGCAAGATGTTTTATAATAAGGGTTTAGTCCCTTCTTACTTGATAACAATAAAAAATTTTTAGATAGTAGCTTACCTGATTCTGCTTCATCTCCTTTATCAACCAACACACATTTCTTTTTCTTTGATTATTGTTATTTTCTTCTTTGTTTAGTGGAATTATCTCATACAGCTTCTGTGTGGTATTTCTTTGATTTCTCTGAGAATTTATTTTAATGGTTATTCTACTCAGGAATCAAATACTGAAGCCAAAGAAATCACATTAGAATTGATTACAAAGTTGTAATAATGCATTCTCTGATCTCTCAAGCCTAAGACAAACTGTTTAACTTTATTATTTTAAACTAATTTCATATACATTTTATTTTTTCCTTTTAATTGAATTTATTGGGGTGATACTGGTTAACAAAATTATACAGGTTTCAGGTGCACAGTTCTACAACACATCATCTGTACACTGTATTGTATGTTCACCACCCCAAGTCAAATCTCCATCTATCACCATTTATCTCCTCTCTACCCTCCTCCACCTCATCTTACCCTCACCTTCCTCTCCCCCACCTCCTCCAGCAGTCACCACACTGTTGTCCATGAGTTTTCTCTTTTGCTCATAAATTTTAAATATAAATTAAAAAGTCCAATACATTTAGAATACTTTTTATTAAAATGCTTTGATGTCAATGTCTAGGTGTTTAAAAAAGCATACTAAAAATACTAAATTTAAATCCACTTCTTTAAAAAAATTACTTTGAAATAATTTTAGATTTGAAGAGCTCCCATAATAGTACAGAAAGTTCATATATACTTTTTGCTCATATTCTGTCATATTGATATCTTAAATAACCACGATACATTTATCAAAACTATTAAGTAAATTATAGACTTTATTTAGAGCAAAGTATGGAATGGAAAATTTAAACATGTAATACTTGCCCTTAGCTACTCTCTATTCTTCTAGGTGAGACAAACTCTATTTCTGTATTGTGTTGTTAAATAATCAGGAACAACATGCTTGAGCTCTGTAATCTTAATTCACATAAAGGTGCTGAATGCTGTTACGATTTTGTCACATTATTTATTGTGTTAATTTTTAAATGAGCATTTAATGAACATTTAAAATTTACATAATTTTACTAGGTCTTTAAGAAGAGACCTGAATAAATCATTTCTCTTGGAATTCATTCACGGATCCTTCAAATGAATATGAACGCTTTCTTATCAGCTAATCAGAAATGTATAACCAAGGACAGTTTATTTGCTTTAGCTACTAGGTTAAATTGACATAAATAACTTCTCTTTGGTAACTGGTAAAATATATTTGTATTCTTTTAATTGTTTTTACTATTTTAAAATGTCATTATTGACTTGTAAAATATTCTTTATTTCTAAAACACTAGAGAAAAGTTTTGTAGAATGCTCCAATAGAACTCCCAAAGTTTCATCTTGTTTTATGTGAAACAAAATGAGTAAGGTAGAAAGCCAAGAGAAACCAGAAGATTTTGACTGGTTTCTTTTTCTTTTCTTTTTAAAAAAATATATTTTATTGATTTTTTACAGAGAGGAAGGGAGAGGGATAGAGAGTTAGAAACATCGATGAGAGAGAAACATCGATCAGCTGCCTTCTGCACACCTCCTACTGGGGATGTGCCTGCAACCAAGGTACATGCCCTTGACCGGAATCGAACCTGGGACCTTTCAGTCCGCAGGCTGACGCTCTATCCACTGAGCCAAACCGGTCAGGGCTTGACTGGTTTCTTGATTTAGTAATACACATTGTTAAACCAAGAGCGTTTGACTGAAAAGTGATTTAATAATACACATTATTAAAGGTTTGAACAATATTGTACTTGTTTAGATTTACCTTTTCTCCTTATATTTTTTAATTTTTATATTTTTATTGATTTCAGAGAGGAAGGTAGAGGGAGAGAGAGATAGAAACATCAATGATGAGAGAGAATCATTGATTGGCCGCCTCCTGAGCATGTGCCCTGTCAGGGAATTGAACCGTGACCTCCTGGTTCAAAGGTCCACGCTCAACCACTGAGCCACGCCAGCTGGGCTATATTTTTTTCTTTTAAAAAATTTAAATTAGTCCCTGGCCAGGTGGCTCAGTTGGTTAGAACGTCATCCAGAAACACAAGCAGACTATTATTTCCCCATTGAATGTGTTTAGTATCCCTGTCAAAAATCTGTTGATAATAGATGTATAGGTTTATTTACGGACTCTCAGTTTTATTCCTTTGTTCTATATGCCAGTTCTAACCTGTCTTGTTGACTGTAGCTTTGTAATAAGTTTTGAAATCAGGAAGTGGGAATCCTCTCACTTTATTCTTTTCCAAGATTGTTTTAGCTGTTGTGGGTCCCTTAAATTTCCATATAAATTTTAGGATTAATTTGTCAATTTCTGCAAAAAGGAAAAGTAGGATTTTGATTTGCATTGTGTTAAATCTGTAGAACAAAGTGGGAAATATTGTCATCTTAACAATACCTGTGAGCACGGGATGTTTTTCTATTTATTTAGGTGTTCTTGAATTTACTTGAGTATTGTTTCGTAGTTTTCTGTGTACAAGTTCTTCACCTCTTTGGTTAGATTTTTTTCCTAGGTATGTTACTCATTTAGATGCTGTTGTAAGTGGAAGTATTTTCTTAATATCCTTTTTAGGGTATTCATTGCTGGTGTATAGAGATAAAACTGACTTTTGAGTGTTGATCTTATATCCTGCAACTTTGCTGCATTTGTTTATTAACTCTACTTATTTATTAGTAGCTTTCTTGTAAACTCTTTGTAACTACTTTTATCATTTGCAAATGGAAATCGTTTTATTTCTTCCTTTTCAATTGGTATGCTTTTTATTTTCTTGTCTAATTGTTCTGACTAGGACTTGTAGGAAAGTGTTAAATAGCAGTGGTGAGCCCTGGCTGGCGGCTCAGTGGTTAGAGCGTCAGCTGGTGCACCAAAGGATCGTGGGTTTGATTTCTGGTCAAGGACATGTATCTGGGTTGCCAGTTTGATCCCTGGTCCAGGTCCTGGGAGGCAACCAATCAATGTGTCTTTTTCACATCAATGTTTCTCTCTCTCTCCCTCTCCCTTCCCCTCCCTGCCTCCCTCCTTCCCTCCCTCCCTTCCTTCTCTCCCCCTCTCCTTCTCTTTCTCTCCCTCCTTTGCTTCCCTTCAACCTTCCTAAAAATCAATGGAAAAAATATACTCGGATGATGATTAACCTAAAAAAAAACAGTGGTGAGAGAAGGTATCCTTGTTTTGTTCCTGATCTTAGGAGAAAAACTTTCACCATTGAGTATGATGTTAACTGTGGATCTTTTAATAAATATCCTCTATAATGTTAAAGTTCCCTTTTATTTATAGTTTCGGAGTGCTTCTATCATGAAAAAGTTTTGGGTTTTGTCAGATACTTTGCAACAGTAGAGATGCCCCCCCCCCTTTTAATATATTTTTATTGATTTTAGAGAGGAAGGGAGAGGGAGAGAGAGAAACATGAATGATTAGAGAGAATCATTGATCGGCTGCCTCCTGCATGCCCCCTGCTGGGGATCGAGCCTGCACCTGGGCATGTGCCCTTGACTGGAATCAAAACCGGGACCTTTCAGTTTGCAGGCCAACACTCTATCCACTGAGCCA